TCAAATCAAATATATAAATTTTGATATATATCAGGTCTGAGTCCGAATTCAGGTTCAAGTCTGAGTTAAATTTTTGAAAATTACAAAGGTATTTCGGATTTGCCAGGTTCATTAGGTTTTATTGGGTATAGTTTGGATTGAATCCGAATATAGTCGGGTCCGAGTATAATTGGATTTGATTCGAATATCGGGTCTAAAAATGTGTATATGGGTCGAATCTTGTGTCCGACTGGACCTGACCTATTTTCATCCTATATAATCCATATGTCTATTAACTCGATGGACAATTGTAAATGAATTATACAGTTTTATCAACTTTGGAAGTAGAACACATTTTGGAGAAAATTTTCAAATGGTCATTTAAGTTTTTAAAGTTTGCTAGGGTGTGTTTGTTTGGAAGTTTGGATTTTAGATTTGAATTTTTTAGGATTTTAAGAAAGAATTTTTGAGTTGTGTTTGTTCGAGGGTTTGAATTTTGTAATGATTATGTTAGAAGAAGTCATTATTTTATTGAAAAAATATTAATGTGATAGTTTGAATTAAATGATATTTAAATATTATTAAAAAATTATGAGTAATTATTGAAAGTAATATTTGATTTGATATATATAATTTTGTTTTATTTTTGTTTTGTTTTATTTTTGCTTTATTTTTTTTTTTTTTTTGTTTTGTTTTGTTTTTTTTTTTTTCTTTTATCTATTTGTTAGTGCAAGTAGATTATCCTTGAGCAAATATGCTTAAACTTTAGAGTTATCTCAAGTGAACTCCTAAAAAAAATAAAATAATACACATTGGTAAGATAAGTAGTTTACTCAATCTTTTTAATCTCTATTCAGCACTGGGGATATCATATCTATTTGACTTAGGAATGCAATGTTTACATTGCACTCCAAAGATCTGCCAACTGCTAAGCACCTCAACAGTCTATCAACAACTATGAGTTGTCAGTAGGCCAACTCAATGGGAATATAACATGCCAAAATACCATGGGAATATCACACGCCAATACTGAAACAACAACACGTATGAATGTGTCATTCCTTGATACCAAGACTGAAATATACTAAAAACAAGTATAAATATTTTTCTTTGCGGAAGTCATAAAATATTTTTACCAACACCTACAATTACTTCAAAATATGGAATTGTCAAAGGGTCATTACGCTGTGTAATCATTATTTTGGAAAATATACGATCCCAAAGGTCATGCATACTCAATAAAATTCTCATCCCTATAATATATCAAGTCGATAAAGGTCTAGAATATAACTATGTATAGAATAAACCAATAACATCAACAAAAGTTGAGTAAGGAATTAAATAGGAAATGCATGAAATAAATTACCGAAAAAAAGTGATAGCCAAGCAACAACTACAACAAAACAAAATTCACGTCTCACTCAATTAATCAACCGACTTGTCAAACAATAACTAACTCTAGCCAAATCTATGATTCATACGATTATTAATTATCTCTCCAATCAATGGTTAAGTTTAGCCAAATCTATGACTCACACAATTCATCAATGGATTTAACAATCAACGGATAAGTCGAGCCAAATCCATAGTTATCAAAATTTATCAATTAACTTGACAATCAACGGCTACATCTAGCCAAATTCACGGTTTACATAATTCACCAATTGAATTTTCAATCAACAGATAACTCGAGACAAATCTACGATATACACAATTTATAAATTGACTTGACAATAAATGACTAAGTCTAGCCAAAGTCATGGCTTACATAATTTACCAATTGACTTTCCAATCAATGACTACGTCTAGCCAAATCCACGGCTAACACAGGTTATCAATCGACTTTCCAATCAACGACTAAGTCTAGCCAAATTGAGGAATCATACAATTCATCAATCGACTTGTCAATCAACGGCTAAATCTAGCTATATCAATGGCTTACACAATTCAAAACTTGACTTGCCAATCAACGACTAAGTTTAGCCAAATTCACGGCTTATACAATTTACTAATTGACTTTCCAATCAACGATATCAATAACCCAATAAATAGTTTATCATATACACTATATACCACATCAACTTTTATTAGCAATTAGTATTATTATATTACAATGAATTCACCATCTATCACATGCAAAGACATAATCATAATACTTTATTCAATTTCGGAACTTAGTCAGATGACCTATTCGTTTCAAGCGTGCATAATTTAACTTTTTACTTTAACCGTAGACTTATCACACCAACACTATAACAAAATGTCTAATTAGTTACAATATCTTTAGCTATAGAATATTTTTGTAGTTAAAAATGTGTCATTAAGAAACAAAACAATTTTATCGCTAAAAATACATGATGCAAGACCTTCGCATCTTATTTAGAATTTGGAGAATCTCTGACTCTGCTACATATCGTTTGATCATCCCATTTGAACCATTATTGAAAAAAAATAAGGTTTCTCTAAATAATAATTCTTCTCCATATACTAACAAGATACTTTCGTCCCTTGAAGCTTAATGCTGATGCAAGTTTTCTAATAGTAAGACAATTAGCTATGTTTGCAAACTATGGCTACTTTGACTGCACAAGGAACAATTTTTTTTTTTTTTTTTTAATGAGAAAATAATTCATTTATACATTTTATGCATTCCTCTAGTTGTATGAGTCTGCTAAGGTAATTTGTGACATAAATTTCCTTGACCTTTTCTATATTTGATCTCAATGTTTAACTCTTGGAGTAGCATAACCCACCAAATGAGGCGAGGTTTGGACTTCATTTTCTCCATCGAATACTTTATAGTTGCATAATCAGTGTAAGTAATAGTCTTGCTCTAAATAAGGTATTGCTTAAATTTTTCGAAAGTGAAGCCAATAACTAGCAGGTCTTTCTCATTTGTAGTGTAATTCCTTTGAGTGCAATCCAATGTCTTGTTGGCATATATAGTACATGACAATGTGTTTTGAATTCACCTTTTGGACCAAGACAACTTTGACGGCATAGTCACTCGCGTCCATCATCAGTTCGAATAGCTCGCTCCAATAAGGTGCATAGATAATAGACGAAGTTGTGAGCTTGCCGTGAGCAATTGCGGGATGTTATTGAAATTCTGATGGATTTTTTTAGAGAACCCAACATATCCTATAAAGCTTTGCACAAAACTTTTCAGTTTTTCAAGTTGTTATTTTCTCAATTAAAATAATATTGGATACGTCAAATTCTGTTTAATTAGCGAGATTTTATAATATAAGGCAGTTTTTTCATTTACCATAAAATTACACTTTTCTTAGTTGAGCACAAAAGTGACACTCTCTTCGTTGAGCACGAGATAAGACTCAATACACCTGAAAATGACTTTTTCTAAATAATGAGGTATTGGAAAAATACTTTTCCAAAAACTAAGACATCCATAAAACCTTCAATACATGAGTCGAGAAGACCACTAAATATATGGTACATACATCTCTGAAATATCGTTAGCGCATTACATAAATCAAATGACACCCAACAATAAGCAAAGGTACCGTAGAGGCGGGTGAAGGTAGTCTTCTCCATATTTTTAGGATTGACGAAGATCTGATAATAGCATAAAAAAGATTCAAGAAAGCCATAGAACTCGCGAGTATCGAATATCTCAATGCATTGATAAAAGAATAGCAAAGGTAATTGATATTTCTTGGTCGTGGCATTAAGTCTTTGATAGTCAATGTAGACTCTCCAACCGATGACTTATTGCATTATGAAGATTTTGTAATTTTATTTTGTTTGATTTTTTTTTTTTTTTTCATAAAACCTTATTTCTTGGATACAACATAGGTAGATTTGGCCCTGTTGCTTATTGCAAAAATTATACCTGCATCAAAGAGTTCAAGTCTTTCTTTTTGAACTATCTTTTGTATATTTTACTTTAAACTCCTCCAGATTGCCTAGTAGATAGCTATTTATGCTTTTAAAATGATAAGAAGGTAGCCAGACTAAATAAAAAAGAAAAAAACAAATATTTTTCCAATTTCTATATTAGTACAATTTAGGCATTAAAATGCAATTCAGTGCCGTCTCGGATTTTTTTTGAGCTTTGAGTAAAAATAAATTATAGGCCTTATAAGCACATGATTAAAATATATTTTTAAAATAATATTAATGATTGCCGTTGATTAGACAAGATATTGAACGTGACGGTTTGGACAGTGTCGATTTGAGAAAAGAAGATGAAAAACAAACTTTCTGAATGTTCAAAAAATGTGAAAGACTGAGAGAGTGAAAAAGAGAGAAAAGAGAGAAGGTGAGGCGAGTTTGGTCTCAGCTGGTGGGCATAGTGCGGCAGGGTGTGAAATAGAGAAGTGTAAACGATGATTAAATTTAAAAATATAAGGTGATGTATGATTAGGAAGAACAAATACAAAAAAAAATATATGATGAAAATTTAAAATTTAATTTTAAAATTAAATTGGATGATTATAAAGAAGAAGAAATATAAACTAAAAAGTAAAATTTAATTTTAAAATTTAAAATTTAAAAATAATAATGTATAACATTTTGATAGTGTTTTGGTAAACTATTTTTTCAAAAACTTTTAGCTTATTGATTTTAGCTGTTTGACAGGTAAACCAGCTAATTTTGGTGTTTGATAAATTAACATTTTCAATTAACTGATCGAGTCCAAAAGCTAATTTTGAAAAAAATTGTATATCCCAACTTTTCAAATTAGTGTATAAACAACTAATATCAGCCCGCTATTTTATCAAACATTTTAATTCAAACAACTAATCGAATCAACTAATACGTAACATTTAATTTCCGAACACAAACACCTAACAACTAATTTCCGAACACACCCTTTTTAACATATAAGCCCTCTGTTAAGTAGGAGTGGTTATTACATGCATTCATTGATTTCATTCTGAAGTAGTTATTACGGTTAGGACATATTTAGAAATATCATAAAGTAAATGCACTTACTATACGTGTTCAACCCAAAAACCAACCATAAATTTATACTCCACTTCCATTCCATGGACCATAAATTAGTAGAGAGAAATCACAGACACATTATATCTTATATATATCGACAATTGTTGGAAAAATCTCGTGGGAAATTGATAGTTAGGGCATGGCTTTGCATTTGAGCAGCGCTTGCTTCTCCGCGGTTAAGGTTCCAGCAGTAAGAGCAGCGGCGGCGCCGGACCAAGCGGTGAAGACGAAGGAGGTAGAGAAGGTTAAGCTCGGTGGCTCGGAGTTGATGGTCACAAGGCTTGGAATTGGGGCTTGGTCCTGGGGCGACAATACCTACTGGAATGATTTCGAATGGGATGGTAAATTTTGCCGAATTCAATTTCGATTACCTGCGTGCCATTGATGGATTTGTGCGTTTTCTGTGGTCTTCGTCTGTTTTTTAATTTTGACTGTAATTTTTGTATTTACAGTTGGTAATATCTGATAGCTGCAGTATGTTTTGAATGGGATGGTGAGATTGGTCTAATTTCATTAGTCAATTTAGGGGTTTTTGAGTTTCTGTGGCCTTCATCTTCAAATTCTGGTGATTTGTATTGTTAATTGTTGCAGCTTGGTGATGGCATTAGAGAGGGGGTGTTGATTAATCTGTTATATTCATCCAATGAATTTACTTAATGTAAATTAAATTTGATATTTCTCACAACCGATGATTCCGTGGGTAGAAATGATCCAGTCAAGAAAAACAAGTTAATGATGTGTTTATTCATCAAAAATTTGTTAATTATTCCACATTCTCTATAACATTAATGTATATGCCAGGGCCTTAATGGAGATGCTAATTGCATCTTGTGGAATTATTTCATTTGATCTTAAAATGTTGTGGCAAAAAGTGGTATCGAACCATCTGGTGGGGTTAAAACTGATTTTTTTATCAAAATAAAAGAACACATTTCTGTTGCTATGTTTGTTTGGTTAAACCATTCTTTGCAGAAGTTTTATCTTAGATTAAAAGTGTGAAACCGAAAGCAATTTTTATGCTGGAAGATACATTTGGAATTTATGGAAACAGAAATTTGCGAAATCAAGTGATTATTTTAGAGATTTTTAAATTCGTGAGCTTTTTCACATAGTTGGAATAAACTGAGGTATGTGATATTGTTTTTAACCAAATATTTGTTCTTGCACAGAGACTGTCTGCAGAAGTAACCTTAGAATGGCGTTCTTCTACTTTTATTAGTTTAGGCTAAGCTTCTGTCCTAACAATTGTGACTATGAATGCTAAAGCTGTTAGAGGCACTTACACTTATGATGACAGACAGGAAGCTAAAGGCTGCTAAGGCTGCTTTCGATGCCAGCATTGACTGTGGCATAACTCTCTTCGATACTGCCGAGGTTTATGGCTCCCGGGTAGGAAGAATTGTTCAAATTTCTCTGATTCTTAGTCTGTCTTTATTTGGGTAACAAATGTCCCGAATATTTCTTGTCTCCTTCATCAGATGGCATTTGGTGCTATCAGCTCTGAAACACTACTCGGAAGGTAAGCTTCACTGATGAAAATAAGGACATTAAAAAATTTCCTCAGAAAAAGCATTACCTAATAATCTCTTTATATGTATGTTGTAAGATTCATCAAGGAAAGGAAGCAAAGAAATCCCGATGTTGAGGTTGCTGTCGCCACCAAATACGGAGCTTTGCCATGGAGACTCGGTCGCAAGAGTGTTATTTCGGCCTTAAAGGATTCTTTGGCGCGCCTTGAGCTGTCTTGTGTTGAACTCTATCAGCTTCATTGGTATGAGATATTATCTTTGAAGTAATCATTTTGTATTTTAATTTTTTTATTGAAATAGCGCGATATTTTTGGCGATTTTTGCAACATTTTATATTTTACAATGGCTAGTTTTAAATTTTAGAAAATTGTTTTTAATCCACATGTGCTTTAAGATATCCACACCACTCTCCCCCATGATTTAGAAATTGCATGAAAGTTTATCGTATTTTAGAAAATATTACATATAATACCCTTAAAATTGTATAAGATTCCCTAGTATTTTCCAAAATATTGCACAAAATCCTTTATTAGAGGGTTTTGTGCAATATTTCAAAAATACGAAAAAGTCTCGTGCTGTTTCTAAATCATGAAAGAGAATAGTGTAAACATTCAAAATTACTGGTGGATTATAAACAATTTTAGGTTTAAATTTTTATACTCATGTATTGATATTTTAATCATACCTATGATTTTCTTTCCAGGCCTGGAATTTGGGGGAATGAAGGTTGTCGGCAAACTTTTTCCATTCCATACATAGTAATCAAGGTCATTAGATCTGAAAACATGTGTTTTGAAGGTCGATGATTCATAATAAATTGTGCAATTGATTTTTATTAGGATACATCGATGGTCTAGGGGATGCAGTCGAGCAAGGTCTTGTTAAAGCTGTTGGGGTATCGAACTATAGTGGTAATGTTTCTCATGAAAACTCGTTGATCAATGCACCATTGCTCGGTTTTCAATTTTATGTGACATTTGGTTAGTTCAAAATTGGTTTTGATTTCAGAGAAGCGCCTTCGCGATGCATATGATAAGCTCAAAAAGAGAGGGATTCCTCTGGCGTCGAATCAAGTAAACTATAGCTTGATATATAGGAACCCCGAGGAAAATGGCGTCAAAGCAGCTTGTGATGAGCTTGGGATCACCTTGATTGCATATTCGCCCATCGCCCAAGGTAAGGGACACAACTTCCAATCAATTATTTTTCAGTTTTTTCATGCATCAAATATCATATACTGATTGAAATGATGTTTGCTGTTCTATAAATAATGTTGGAAAGTTTCAAAGTTTTGCAAGTTGCACGACTTAAGTTTGAATATATACAAAGGTTGATTATATGAATTGTGTGTATTTATTATACCTATTGTTGCGATGAAGTTATTTTTGGGTAAAGGGTTTTTAAAGTTTTGATTTATGTTGTTTTTTAGGTGAACATTGTTGAATATGATGTTTTGTATGATATATTTTTATTAAGAACGATAAGATTGTACTCAGAAGAAAAATAAAAACGAATTGAGAAAAACTTAAAAAAAAGAACATAGCCTTTATGCTTTGATGAAAAGATTTTCGTATGGAAAATGCATGTAAAGGTTCGATAATTCCAGCCATAGTATTTCTTGTTTGAAGTCTAATGTGAGTGTTTTGCCGCATTAGGCGCTCTAACCGGGAAGTACACGCCCGACAACATCCCATCCGGTCCACGAGGGCGAATATACACTCCGGAATTCCTAACAGTAGTAAGTTCCTTTAGCTTTGAGTGAATAATAATAAGGCAAAATTGCTCATAACTCTCTTGTGGTTTCGAAACTCAGCGTAAATTCTCCCATTATTTTAAAAATTGCATGACATCCCTTTATACTTTAAAAAATGTTGTATGAAACTACTTTGTGGTTTCGAAATTCAGCATAAATCCCCATTTTACTTTAAAAAATTGCATGACGCTCACTTATACTTTCAAAAATATTGCATAAAACCCCCTGTTATGCAAAAGATATAGATAGGAAATCATCTTCTTATCACACGAGGAAAGTTTTATGGTGGTGGGGTTTCATGCAACGTTTTTTAAAACATAAGGGGATACCATGCAATTTTTAAAGTACACGCTGAATTTTGAAATCACAGGGGAGTTATAAGCAATTTTACCTAATAATAATAATAATAATCATAATAATAGTTACCATATTCGTCATCGGCTTACTTTGGTCTATCCACAGCTACAACCTTTAATAAACCGGATAAAGCAGATCGGGGATGGCTATGGAAAAACTCCAACACAGGTTCTATTTTCTCAAATATTATTCCCACATGTTGATTTTCCGTCTACTGATAGCACGGTAATATATATCAGGCAACGCATTATATATAAATATCTAATGCATATTTATACTTTATACAGACATGTATTGTCCGTTAAATTTTTATATGCTATATATAGTATTTTTATGTGTTGATTGAGGTAATTTACATGGTGCGAGTAAACCTTCAATTGGTACTCTAACCGAAGCGATATATATATATATAGGTTGTCTTAAACTGGCTGATTGCACAAGACAACGTGGTACCAATCCCGGGAGCCAAGAATGCCGAACAGGCTCAAGAATTTGCAGGCGCTGTCGGCTGGAAGCTCAGCACGGAGGAAGTCGAAGAGCTGAGAGCAATGGCATCGGATATCAAACCGGTCATTGGTTTCCCGGTGGAGAAACTATAGGTATCATGTATATATATATACTAGAACTCGGCAGCGCAACTATACTATACTGTTTGGGTGATTTGTAATGTAAAAAGATTATGTATTGTTATAAATATAATATAATTCATTAAAAATATATTGATATTTACATTAAGAATGTATATGCATCTTCTATTGGACAAATATTTTTATTTTGTTTTGTAAAATATCAATTTTTTAAAAAATAGTGAAAAGTCAATTTAAAATAAGCAATGAAGTGGGGTACATCACAAACGGACAAAAGTATATAAATATGGAAAATAATTTGAAGAGACCACAAAAGAACGAAGAGAAAAGAAAATTTGAAATAGAAGAAAGATAACTCTATACGGCTATAATAATATATATATATTTTTTTTCATTTACTGTGTTCATATTTTTATTTTCCATTCTTTCATTTTAATTTTATGTTAAATTTTATAATTTAAATTAAATTAATTAATTATTTTAATTTTAGTTTATAATTATTTTTATTATATAATAATTACTTTTACTAATATAATTTTAATTATTTATTAATTATATTTCTTATAAATTCTTATATTTACAATAAAGTAGATCGAAGAAAGTAATAAATAATCTATATATTATGTGATCAAATCTTTTTTCTTAATTAAAATGTTTTATAGAAATAATTGTATTAATTGATATGATTAATAATTTATCATTAATATTATGTAATTATAATTGATATAATTAATAAAATTATTATTAATAATTTTTTTTTTTAAATTTATTATTATTATTATATAAAAAAAAGACATCAATGTTGGTCTCAGTCCATTTTCAACTCAAGCCGTAAAAATAACAACTTTGCTATTTTAGGTTGGGTTACTCCCCTCTTCTAGGAGAGGGTATATCTCAACAGAGAAATGACTTTTTTATTTTTTATTTTTTTTTAAATTAAAAGTTAATTAAAATTTACTTTAAAAATTATGATTTTATTTTATTATTTATCAAAAATAAATTATTTTTATATATTTATATTATATTTTATAATTAATATTTATTTTATTTTATTTATTATATTTAATTAAAGAATACTCAATATTTTCCATGAAATTAGTCCAGTTTTTTTTGGCACACAGTTTAAAAAATATTGTGTTAGATAGTTAATTAATTTGATTAATAGACTTAATAAAGTGTTATATTAAATATTTTTTATTTGATAAAATGTTAAATTAAAAGTTAAAATATTTTTTATTTTAATTTTTAAATATTAAATTTTTTATTTACTGATATTATTTAAAAATAATAATAATAATTGTATTTATTGTAAACAATACATGCATTTAGATAAAAATAAAATAAAATAATTTTAATAACTTAAATGTAATTTATACAATAAAAAATGTAATCAAGAAATTATATAAACAATACATAAAATGTAATACCACATCGCATACGTACGGTACAAAATTTTTGGTATGATATTTTACCGTACCGTACAAATATTTTGGTATACCGAATTTGTGAATAAAAAATACTGAATTACGGAAATAACATGCATACTCGTAAAAAAATTACCGAAAAACTTTCAAAATTTCGATACAATATGACTTTTTTTATATGATAACGATATACAATAAGATATTTTCAGTGTATATAGATAATTAAAAAAATTGATATTTTGTATATATTGATTATTTTATACAATATCGATATTTTTTTTAATAAATTAAAAAATTTGGTACGGTATACAATATATTTCGATATTTTCGGTATACTATCTCTAACTAAATTGTATACATGGTATTATAATATAATATTTTATGTCAAATACCGGAATTAAAAATAAGTTTATAATTTTGCTTTATAAATAAGTTCTATTTTTTTTTTTTTTTGAACAAAAAAAATCAATATCAAATCTCATTTTTAATTAATTTTTCAGCCATAAATTTTCAAATCAAACATCAAATTTTATTATATATTATATTAAAATTTAATTTTAAAATTAAATGAATATTTTTATATAATATTAAATATTTATTATTTTTATTATTCAAAATTTTAGCCCAACTTCTAAATTTATGATTAACAAATAATAAAACTAAAGATATTAGTAAGTTAATAAAATATAGTTAAGTTTTTTTAATTAGAAGTATTAGTTATTAATTATTACTGAAATAGGAAAGTGGACTAATTTTATTGGACAGCTAAAGAAGGAAAAATGAACTAATTTAGTGGGAGGAGGGAGTAGTACATAGTATTTTATTTATATTGTAAATAAATATTATTTGATAATATTAAATTTTCATTTTATTTAATTTGAAAAATATTTATTATTTTGTATAATCAAATAATAAGAAAATTTATAAATTTTATTTATTGATATAATATTTAAAATATTTCTATAAATTAAATATATAAAAATAATAAAATATATATTTAATGTTATTTATAAATTTAAAAAATTATAAAAATAATATATAAAATAAAATATTTATTAACCTGCCAAAATAGATGGTGTGGTTGGACCTGCAAAATAGAGTGTGATTAAAGATAAAAATACTGTCAAAAATAGAGAAATGTATTATAAATCCTGCAAAAATAAAATTATATATTGGAGATAGTCACACTTTATATCTCTTATTAATTATGAATAATTAATAGGTATTTATATAATAAATATTATAATGATTGGTAAGTGTATATATATATATATGTATATGTGTATGTCGTGTGTGTATATATTATGTTTCAATAAAATACATATGAGATCCGCACTTACTAAATACATTTAAGCACAATAAATCTAATAGTTAATTTGACTGATAGCTTAAATAGTTACGTGTAATTCACAATTAAATTTTTAATCATAACAGTCCTATATCGTCTTCTTTCCATTTTCAGCAAAAAGTCCATAAAAGCACCATTGTTGGCTTGGCTTCATCCATTGAAAGATCTGCAGTTGTTTTATACTCTCTTTTGTCATTTAAATTTATTTTCGCTGTTTTTTTCGATTGTTATATAAATTTATTCTTGTTGTCCTTTTTAATAAAAAAAAAATATTTTTTATACTTTTTGTTTACCCTTAAAATAAAATATTTCTATTTATACTTTTTCCGGAGTAATTTTCTTATAGGGCACTAAACTGAATTGAGCTCTAAGTATTATCATTATTATGGATGCCACATTGTTTCCTGATTGGAATTCCAAGGTTGGATTTGAATTCCCAATCCCAATTTCAAAAAATCTCTTGGATAATCACAATATGTCATCTTTCGATTAACATCTTTAATTTCTTGTTATCTTATCCCTAAATCAACTTTTGGTTGCCTCCATTGGAATACTACATAATATATCATACATCACATTAAATATAAATTTACATAAGGTATATAAAGTAAAATTGAAATCACATATTAATATTTCATACAACATATGTTATCTGTTATATTTTCATATATTAATTGGGACAACTAGCATAGTGTCGATAAATTCCCAATTAGTACGCTAATTGAAGCGATAGTATATTAATTAATAATGTGTATTTCTATTTAGTTGAACTTTTTGGTGTAGTTTTTAACAATTCCTTATATATATATATATATATATAGGTACATGTGTGTGTAAAATTATGTAGATTGGAGAATGAATTGGTTGAGCTTCTATGGCAAAATGGTGAGGTAGTTTCACAAAGCCAAAGTAATAGGAAACAAAGCCATGATTATTAGACATTATTATTATATAAAGATTAATTAATTGGATTGGTCACACTTAATGTAAAAGAATTCGCAGTAGCTATCAGAATATGCGCACCGGGTAAACTCCAACCGGGCCTAATACCATGTAAACTAAGCCCGACAGGCAAAATACAGGCGAACTATGTGTGACAAGTGACCTGAGGCGTCGGAAATTTGAAATCATAATCTTACGGTAACACGTGCCAACCCCTACACCAACCTTTCTCACTTTGAGTTCCACTCAGTTAAAACTTCAAGCTCACTTCATGTTTGTTTGTTTGTCACAAATACAAGTTACAAATTTTTTATTTTATTTTATTAAATTTAAATTCAATTAATAATCATCATTTATTTACATTTTAAAAAATTAAAATTATGTATAATATTATTATAAAAATATTAATTTAATTTGTTTACAAACACTATTGAACATTGAGGAATAAACTCAAACTCCTTCGAGCTGAAGTCACAAATAGCAATGGGGACTCACTAAAAGGTATCTACTTTCGGACAACATGCATGTTATTCTACTACTATTCTCTTGCAATTCTCCATCAAACTATGAAAAAGGTACGTAGTAATAAGTTCAACGTAGAATTTTCACTTACTTATAGCAAACCATCACTTTCACAAAGGGAGGGGGTGGGGTGGGGAGGGGGGGATGTAAACTAACCACAAAGCCATCCCTTTATTACTTACACAATATTACCACACACACCAGTAGTTTTTTTTTTCACATATGTCCATCACTTTTTTTTTCTATATATATATATATAAAAGAGAAGCAGCAAGCTCGTACCACCGACTACACCAACTGATCGATGCTCCGATCATTCAGCTGGCCAGACAAACATTTAGTTTCTGCCATTCCTCACGGAGCACAATCAGCTGTCCGGTAAATTCACATCCTAGAGATCAAAAGCGGAGCAGAAATCGGGATGCCATCACCCATGACAGGCTGGAACAGATCCAACTCCCCATATCGCTCCAACACCCGCATCCTGCAATCATCAGCAGCCTTTAAACCAGTCGCGTATGCACCATGAACAGATCCCGGGTAGTCTATGCTTGTAGCTTCCCCAGCAAAAAATAGGTTGTCAACCGGGATCCTAAGCCGTTCATAGAGATCATGAGATTTCCCCACTAGGTCGTAGCTGTAGGAGCCCAGGGTGTTTCTGTCCGTGCCCCAATGTGAAACAAGGTACTGAATCTGCATGATTAATCGACAAACTATCAACCGAGGGTTTCAAATTTTCAAAGCAATAAAAAAAATTAGTGGGATCCAAACAGCATATGCTTCCAACAGGCCATATTAGGTAAGAAATAAGAAAGTTGAAACATGTAGTGAAATAATTTACGTCTCCAGCCAATTGTCACACCATTGCTCTGGAGATCACCGGCCCTCTCAGAGATGGTGCCAACAGCTTATTTGGAGATCAACTGTTCCTAGGATACGACAAATGGATTACTAATCTCAGCCCTTTGACGTAAATCATTTAATGTTCATGCATATAAATGAAAAACAAGAAATGGAAAAAAGATAATGGAAAGATACCGGTTCAGAAGCATTTGGAAGGATCCTTTTAAGCTGTTTAAAAGCAAAATTAGATGCATCCTCATCCGACATTTTCTCAATTTCACGGGCAAGTTGTCCCGCAGGCATGTAAACTAGAACAGAATGACCTGTTGCCTTGTGCAAATTAAGAAAATAACTGCATTCGTAAGTGGTTTCGGCAACAACTCCCAAGAACTCTACATTCGGCCAGAAAACTTTCTCAAAGTGCAATATTATCTTGTTCTCAATCCCTACGCCGAGGTCATTAATTGCTTCTTCCTTCCACTCCGGCAGCCTCGGCTCAAATTTGATGCTGTTTGATTTCAGAACACCAAGAGGAGTTGTAATAATTGCTGCATCTGCTTCAAACGCACTTCCATCTTCTACAGTTACCTTTACTCCATTGTAATGCCTAACTATTTTTGTCACTCTGAAGAACAGACAGAAAAAGAATCTCAGAAATGAATTCATTTCCGCATCAGAAAAGGATGTTATTAAGGATAATTGTATTATTTTACCTGTGGTTTAAGCGGATGTCGAGACCTTTGGCGAGAGTATTAATTACAGGAAGATATCCACGGACCATGAGGCCATGCCCTCCTGGAAGCAACACTTCCTAATGAATCAAACAAGAAAACAGAAAAAATATCATCACAATCCAACTACGGATATCATCAAGTTATAATGTCATTTATTATATTTTCTTAAAATCCACATTGAAATAATGGGGAAATTAACAATTAACGCTTGTGAAATACGGAATGTTCAAAAACATTCTCACAAAAACATCAAATATCCAAACTGGTGTTTGTTACAAGAAAAATTAAATAAATGAATAAAGCAATTTAGAATGTTTAATGAACAGTAAAAATAAATGACCAAATAAAACACTTTGGCTGTTATGATTGGGTGGATTTGAACTTGAGGGTGGATTTTAAATTAATAGATTTGAATTATGTCAGATTTGAAAAACTTAACAATTAAATAACATGCTATAAAGAATATTTGAAATATTAAAGAAGTTAATTTGAGATCCATCATATTGCCAACTAAATTTAATGAATTTAGCGAAATCATTTGAAATACCTTTAACCTAAAATCCTCCAACCGAACAGGGGCTTATTTTTTTAAACAACTTTGAAAAGGAGCCCAAAGAAAATCAACCAAACTTGCTATGTATAGATAAGCAGCACTGTTATAAATAACATTAGTTTTTTATTATTAATTATTTTTTCTCAAGAGGGGTCTTTTCAAACATTTGATATTTCATAAGAAGCTAATTTACGATTGACTCTACATTATCCCGGATCATTCCAGTTACAAGGCCACTTCAGATTGCAAGCCCGTTCAGCGACATCCCCATCAAGAAAAATACAGGACCAAAAATAAATAAACAAATAAAATAGAAAGAATAGGTGACCTGGTCCCAGCCTTTAAGTGATATGGTATCAGCATCTGCTGCAAACCAACCCTCCATTCTGCATAGGTACCATTGTAGCACCTTCTGGGCAAGTCCCTCCAACCTACAGAACAGGTTATAGTGTTTATATTTACCATACATATGTATAATATTACCAATATTTAAATTATAAAATCGTGTGCCACATATAGTACCTTAAGTCTGGCCTTCTCTCAAAAACAATTGAGATGGCCTGTTGTATGGACATGTCCTCACTAGATTCAAGTCGTATAGCCTCAGTCTGAAGCCAAAAAAGTAAACCAAATTAGAAATAAGCACAACAAATTGCACTGATTGACAAAAACGAAAGAGAAGTTCAGTGCAGTAAATATGCAAAGAAGAATTATCCTATCATTAACAATAGCACAGCATTACAATGTCATTAGTTAAAAATTGTATGTCATTAAAGAATTTTTTGAGGTAAAAAATAAAAATAAAAATAAAACGAGTTTATTCGGATGTTACTTTCAATCTGAGCTTTCAGATCTCTCATCAGCTTCACTGAGGTTTTTTATTTAATAGGGATATTTCAGTAATTATAAATCATGACTTAAGATATTTGAAATTTTCCAAAAAAAATACATATGAAACACAAGCATTATATTTGAAAATATAATGAGGCACAGAGGAGGGTAGACGTGCCTCTTTCAAGATGCTCTCGAATGTTTCGCCAACCTTTGAAACTAGATCTTGAGAAATTTGATTTCCATTCACATCAAAGAGTGAAAAACTGAAAAATAAGAGCGACAGCTATCAGTACAGCAGAATTATAAAATTCAGAATGTGTAAGATCCGAAACAACAGATACGGTCATACCTTTCTAAATCGTGATCATACAAAACAGAGTTCTCTTCACTAGTGCGATAAAGTGGTAATCCCAGTCTTCCAATCACCGAAGACAGTGGATTTTCCTTGCAAACACCATGTAGCCTGAGCATTAAAACACAAAGAGTAATGAGAAAGAGAATTTCATAAATCATTTAAATACATACAATTTACTAAAAAAATTTATTCATTTTCAAGATTTTGCCAAACACAGCTACCCAGTAATTTCTATTCCCCTGGGGGTGGGTTTGGTTGTAGCTTTAATTGCAACAAAAAGTACTTACCACGATGCTCCCAAGTCTACAGGGAAGCCAAAGGAATAATCAGTATGTACTCGACCACCAATTCTATCCCGTGATTCCAACACGACAACCTGAAAAATCACTTTCTTCATGACCAAATTCTTTAAATATGCCTGCCAAAATAGACAATCCAACTATATACCTGAAATGAGGCGTCATGAAGTGCTCGTGCAGCTGCAATACCAGAAAAACCAGCACCTATAACAATCACAGAAGGATATTCTGTGGTTCTTTGAAAGGTTGAGTAGCAAAGAGCTGGAAGCGAACACATAATCAGGCGTTAACTCGGTGGTTGAGTGATTTAACATTCCACAAGCATAAAACAGAAAAATGTGCATTTGCGTAACATACATCAAAAGTAAATTAGTAAAAAATTACTATAAAAGTTCACTTTCAAAAGTTATAAGAATTTTTATATTAACATAATGCATCAATCACCTAATCCGGTGATGGGTTCCCATCATGAGTCCTTGTCCAAGTAACAAGTATGACCTAATTTCCACACAAATATATGAACTACATCCAAGGAAACCTAAACCTAATTATTGAGTTTATTCACTTGTTAGTCCTAATCAATTAACCATTTATTGATACCTCACGTAATAAATTTGCAAACTGGCCACCAAAAACAGTTTATTAGTTGACAAAGAAAGATCAACAAACATCATTATAAAAAATAATAACCACAGTATCTTGACAGAGAAAAAATGCACCAACTCATCATCACAGATAAAGAATGAAGCGTTTCTTTTCTCTTTTTTATTCCACTTTCACTGCAATCTATAAAGTGAAATCTTTTTTCACACCTATAAACATCATTTTCAAATCCTAATCTCGAAATAAAAAATCAAAACCAAAACATATTACCCCCTAAAAATTTTCAAATCCAAAACATCCAAATGTAGCCGAAGTGTTTTGCTAACTGTTAAAGAATGCTTTTGAGTTCATTTTGGCTTTTGCTTCCAACCATTCAGAAACAAGTACTTTTCATTTAGATGCAGGATTCCATCGTGGGCCTGTTTTCTTGATTATTCTTTCTTTTTATAACCCTATATGCTCATAAGAAAATCTCACTCTTTTTTCCAAATCATTTAGTTAACAACTCTCATTCTCATCACACTTCAGGTAATATCGGTCAAAATCCGATAGAGATCTTTCTGATGTCTTCCAAACAATTTTGTTTAGTTTTACAATTCATGTTAAAAATGGCCCTTCTTCCAAACACGAATATAAACAAATTATAGTTAGAAATTTATTAGCAACATTCCAGCTACTTGTTCGTCTAATTTCAACTTGTGACAGTAAAAAAACACGTTTTTTCTTCTTTAATTGTGACTTTATTTGCAATAATCTACCTTTGAGTGTAATTTTAACTTGTAAGTAAAAAGCAGGCAAGGATAGATAACAAAAAAAAAGAAAAAAATAAAAATCAAACAAACACACAGAAACAGAAAATAAGCACCATCCATGGCATCTAAGGAGCTGAACAAACAAATAAAAGCAAACCCTAACGAAAAATTAGAAGCAATCCATTAAGCAATTACCCAAAAAAAAAAAAACAGTGAGAGACAAAGACGCATACCTCTCCTCAATTGGCGATTATTCTTCTTCCCCTTGAACTCCATAATCTCACCACTTGGTAGAACACAAACGATTACTAAAATCTAAAGGAGCGATCGCAATTAATCTTAACAACAACAGAAAGAGCAGAAAGGTATTCGATATTGAGAATCGTAGGATGAACGTGATGAAGTGATTTGAATTGGAAGTAGCGAGCTTCACCGACCTACTCATACGTCTCCGGACCAGCCCACCGTCCGATCAGTACCAAATCAACCGACCGACCAAAAAATCAAGATTTAGGAGCCAAATCATAAACCCCAAGAAATCAATCAATCAACCAACCAACAGGGAATTCCCCCAAATTGAACGCCCAGACGGAGACTCCGAAATCGGAAAATTCTAGAGTACGGCAAATTGAGGCAAGGCAGGAGAAGAGATGGCTCATGGGCTTTTATTTATAGTGTGTGGATGCATCAAATCTTCAAATCTTATATTCCAGATTTTCTGTATTATTATTATTATTATTATTATTATTTTGAAGTTTCTACTTTTCTTTAATTTTTATTTATTTATTTATTTTTGTCCGAATTCAAATTTAATTTTTATATATATATTAAAAAAAAAAAAAAAGTTATCGTGTATGTGGACAGATTTAATTCATAAAGTTTACGGTTAGGTTTGGTTACAGTTGAAGAAGGCAAATTATCATTTTCTTTTTTAATTTCAATTATACTTTATAAAATAAATTAAGTGGATATATTTGAGTGTATTTGTTTAGTATTGTTATGAGGTGATGGTCATAAATTATACATTTATTTTTAATGCAAAATTTTAAAATTAATATTATTTTAATTATTATAGTAAGTTAAAAGTAGTATAAAATATAAATATTTATTAAAAAAAAAGGAGCAAAATATTTAATTAAATGATTACTGAGCAATTCAACATATAATATAAATATGTATAATGGATAGATGGAGCATTAGATATGGAAAATCCTAGACATCTCAGGTCATCTGTCACACATAGTTCGTTTAGTGTGACTTTATCATCGAGCTTGGTTTGCAGAGTATTAGGTTCAGCCAGAGGTTTACCCAGTCACTACAAAAAAAATATCAATTTTGTAACGAGATTTTTTCGTTCTTAAATCCATTTTTTCCGTTACTAATGATATTAGAGACGGAATTAGTGATGGAATTATGTTAGCTACGTGAACTTTATGAACGGAATTCCGTTACAAATATACTATGTTTTTTTGTAGTGAGTGCACATTTTCAGGTAGCAGCTGCAGGTTCCCACGTCATAAAAAAAAATAAAATATTGTTGTCTAAAGTTATACATACATTCTCTTTTAGTTGTCACCCAAAAATATCACTTTTTTATTTTTTTATTTTTTTACTATAAACGAAAAAATATTACTACCTTTGTCCACCGCCAATCTATCTATTTGCATTTGACGTCATTGTTTTTTTAACATTAAAAACATCTTTATATTTGTATAATTTTTTGTACAAATTTTATTTCATTAGTATTATAAGACATCAAAAGAAGTATTTTTGTCGTTTTTTCTTAATTTGTATTATATTTTGATATAATCATTAATATTTCAATATTAACATAAAAAAAGTAAATGGATAGACTGACAGTGGACGGAGGTAGTATATTTTTACTCATTTTTAAATGACGGAGTGAATATTTTATATAATATATATTGTTAATTTTTTGTTGTCTAAATATAAAATATCCATTCTTTTAGTACATATCGATTTAACTATATATTAGAAATATCTTTATAGTTATATTTATTTAAATCAATCTCATCATATTAAGGGTAAAATAGTCTTTACATATGAAAGTTATCACTAACTATTATTAAAATACAATATTTATTAAACTTTGCACAAAAAAATAAATATTTAGATTGTGTTCTTTTATGGCACTTCATCAAATTTTTACTATTTATCAATCAAAATTTCTTTAAAAATATCAAATCAAATATTTATTTTTTTATTTTTTACATTATATTAAAATCAATTTTAAATTCAAAATATCACGTCAACACCTATTTATATCAAATTATAAAATTATTCTAATTCAAAAATTTTAATTTTAAAATCTCAAATCAAAATCTAAAATCCCAAACAAAAGCACTCACATTTTAGTGACAAAGAAAATATTAAATTATTGATTTTTTTTAAATGATCAAATGTATATGATGTTGTATATTTTGCATGAATGTAAGCATATATTATTTAACCAATATCATATATACACATTAATGTAATATATAATATATATTTTATTCTCTTATAAAAAGTCAATAATTCAACATAAATTATTATTTTTGATATTATTAATATAATTCTTTCTACTTAAAATAAAAAATAATCCATCCAAAAATACAAAGTAAATAAACCAAATATTTTAAAAATATTTATTAAAAATCTTGTAAAAAATTGAAAAAAAAATATATCAATTTTATGGTTTTAAAATAATTTTAATATTCCCTCCGTCCCATTGAAAGGTTGCCATTTTCCATTTTCGTCTATTTTACATAATAAATACTCTTTCAACTTACAATATATTACACAAATGTCATTACTTTTATATTACACCATACTAACAGAGGTATTTTTGTCTTTTTTTACTACAATCTAATATAATACTAATATTAAAAAATCTACATGCAAAAAGCAAACGTCACCCTTCTTGCGAGACAGAGGGAGTATATATAATTAAAAAATTAGAATTTGCATTTACATATTTTAGAAATTATATCGTAATAAAAAATATATGTATTATGGATATTATTTTGTAAAGAAGTGATTTTTTTATAATACAAGTAAATAAAAGAATACTTTTATTTATTTATTATTAATATAAGCTAATTTTATAAAATAGATTGAGTTTTAAATGTTGATAAAAATATTTATTTTTTTTAGAAGAAAAATATAAATAAATTAGTTTTGAGTGAGTCTTACACTACGAATGATATTAATTGTGATGTAATTAATTAAATTTATTTATATTTTTTATAAAAGAGATTGAGTTTTAAATGTAGATAAATATATTTATTTTTTTTAGAAGAAAGATAAAAATAAATGAGTTTTAAGTGATCATGTATGATGTTATTTGTTATTTAGTTAATTAAATTTACTTATGCTTTTTAAGTATGTTTTACTTTATTAATTTTTAATCAAAAAATTGAAAATATCAATTATTATGAGACAGACAAAAATAAAAAATAAGTCAATTATTATAAAACAAATGAAGTAATTTTTACTATATAAAATAATAATAATAATAATAATAATAATTCACTTTTATTAAAATTAATATATGAATATTTAAATAAACAATTAAATAATAAAAGAAAGTACTCCCTCCGTTCCAATACAATAGTCCTGTTTAACATTTTTGTCATGTTTACCATAAATAATCATATCACTGTAAAACTACCCTTATTTTTTCATTATTATTACACAATTGTCACTACTTTTTACACTAATACACTCACAAGGGCAAAAAAATCTTTTGACTATACTTTTTACTCACTACCAATATAATATCAATATTTCTTAAATCTCGTGCCGAACACAATCCAGACTATAATTTTGGGACGGAAGAAGTATCATTTTAACTAAACTTATTACTCAATAATAAAATCAAAGTTCCAATAATATTTTTCTAAGTTAGGATCACTCCAAACGCATGTAATAATATTTATAATGTATTTTCTTATATTAAAAGTGGATACTCATTGATATTGTCGTCAGCTATTGGTCCAAGTATTGAAGGTGTAATATTATTATTATTATTATTATTATTATTATTTATTATCATTAATGGCTCTAAAGCTGAATCCACCGACTTATTATATGACATGACACACCACACTTCTGTTCGAGTATTTACATTATAGTACTATTAACTATACCTGTAGCTGTCAAAATTTTGATTAATGGAACGGATTACTTCATAATTTAAATAATTCATAAAAATGTGTGTGAGTTGTTTGAATGCTAATCGGTCTAACTCACGAACTTTTAACAATATTAAAAATATAGTATTTTTTATAATTAATATAAAAAATAATTATGTCATAGAGTTCATATAAATATTTCAAAACAAAATATTAAACATTATTAATCGTTATATTCTTTAAAAAAAAACTATTATTCGAAAATATTTAGATATTTCAATAAATAAAAATTATTCTTATAATTTTTTTTTGTTGGATAATCGATTATTTATGCAATCGATTAATTGATGAGTGAAAATGCGACGGGCCGGTGTACCAAATTAATTAGATTAATTTAGAAGAAATAAAAAAAATATTATTTGTTTATTGTATATTGGACTTGATTAATATTTTGGCTAGTTTGTCTGTTTCAAAACAATCCAAATTGTATAGCACTAAATTAAACCCGGGTATATGGCCCATCCTCGACTCGATTTCATGGTAGATTTTACTATCGCAATACCCATTTAAAATAACAATTGAAAATTGAATACTACTTTGCGAAAATGTCAACTCCTATCGACGTCACTAGAGCAGCCGCCGCCGCCGAAGGAGCCGCCGGAACTGCCGCGTAGGAGTCGCCGGATGCACCGCCGGAGTCACCGGAGCCGCCAGAATAATCTCCAGAGGGGTCGCCGGAGCCGCCACCGGCGGAGTCGCTAGAGCCGCAGTCAAGGTTGTCGGTCTTCTACTTGGGTCAGTTCCCTTTATGGGTAGCCCTATGTTTTCTGAATTTGCCCAGGGGATGTGGGGCTTTCCTGGGTTTGTGGCCGCGCACCCTCTGTTACCTTCGCGGCCCAAACTATTTTGGTCCTGGGTTTTGGCCCACGGATGATGCCCCATGTATAAGTTTCACAAACATTCACTTCAACTTTAAGAGATGACAGGAGAAGATGTTCTTCTACCTAACTGCGATTGGATTTGCCATGTTCGTGTTGCACTATGACTCAATTACCCTAGAGTCCAGTGCAGACCAGCAAACGCATGCAAATTATGCATCGTTGGCACATGGAGACTACATGACAAGAAATACTATTTTAAGTAGTCTCTCTATCTCTCTTTATAATATATATTGTAAAATAAAGAGTGCGAAAGGGTTGTGGGATGCCCTTGAGAAAAAAATATAAATCCAAGAATGTTGGGTCTAAAATTTTTTATGTGACCCGGTTTATGGACCATAAGATGGTAGATGACAAGTTTGTCGCCGAACAAGTGAAAGAATTTCAACACATCGTTCACTCTGTTATCGACGAGGATATGCCACTACTAGAAAAGTTTAACACGAGTGTGATGATCGAGAAATTTCCCCCAAGTTGGAGCAACTTTAAGCATAGGCTGAAGCATGAGGTAAAGCAAGTGGGGTTTGAAGATCCGATTGTTCAAATTCAGATAGAGGAGGACAACAGAAAACAACCCAA